TACAAAATTTTGCACCGTTTCCCACATTTTACACATCTCCCTAATCTTATTTGAAGTGAGGGATCCCTCCGCCTTATTCTCCTCCTCCTCCTCTGCAGACGAGATCTCCTCCGTAGCCTCTTGCTGTTGCTCGCGGTGCAGGTGCATCAGTTCCTCGGTGGTCAGCTCCTGGCCATGTTCCTCCACCAGCTCTTGAATGTCGTTCTCATCTACCTCCAGCCCCATGGTCCTCCCCAAGGACACAATTTCATCGACGACTGGCGACTCCTGTTCATAAGCCGGCCCCTCTAATCCATGTCCAAGAACGCAATCGGGCCACAGATTTCTCCAAGCAGAATTGAGGGTTCCCTTGGTGACTCCATCCCAGGCTTTATCGATGATCTTGAGGCAGTTCACGATGTGAAAATGATTTTTCCAAAACTCTCGGAGGGTAAGGTTTGTTCCTTCGGTCACCTCGAAGCATCGCTGAAATAGTGCTTTGGTGTAAAGCTTCTTAAAGTTGGAAATGACTTGTTGATTCATTGGCTGGAGGAACGGAGTGGTGTTGGGAGGAAGGAACTTCACCCTAATGAACTCGAATTCCTCCAGTAAGTCGTCCTCAAGGCCTGCAGGATGAGCAGGAGCGTTATCCATCACCAGCAATGCTTTGAGTGGCAGATTCTTTTCCAAAAGGTATTTCTTCACTGCAGGACCGAAGACCTCGTTGATCCACTCGACGAACAACATACGAGTGACCCAAGCCTTGCTGTTGGACCTCCACATAACGTTCAACTGGCTCTTCTGCACCTTGCATTTCTTGAAGGCTCGTGGATTCTCGGAATGATACACGAGCAGGGGCTTGGCTTTGAAATCCCCGCTTGCATTAGCACAAAGCAAGAGGGTGAGGCGGTCTTTCATGGGCTTGTGACCGGGCCTTGCGTTCTCTTCTTCTGTAATGTAGGTCCTCTTCGGCAACTTCTTCCAAAAAAGCCCCGTCTCATCGCAGTTAAAGACCTGCTCGGCCAAGTAACCCTCGGAAACCAGGAGCTTCTGGAACTCGGTGGCGAACGCCTCAGCTGCCTTAGTGTCCGAACTCGCAGCCTCTCCGTGCCTCGTGCTATGGATGCCGCTTCTCCTCTTAAAATTATCAAGCCATCCCCTACTTGCCTTGAAGAGTTCTTCGTTTTCGGTCGACGTGCCTGGACCTGGCAGTTTACTTACGAGGTCGGTGTACAAGGCCTTCGCCTTCTCACAGATGAAATTCTCACTCACAGTACCACCTGCCAGTTGCTTCTCGTTTATCCAAACCAGAAGCAGCTTTTCTACATCTTCCAGAACACGCGGCCGTTGCTTTGATATTCTCGTGACTCCTTTGGCTGCGTCCAGCCCCCTTATGTCTTCCTTCTTCTTTAATATTGTGCAAATGGTCGACGTGGACTTCTTATAAAATCTGGCAATTTCGGTCACTCGTGTACCTCGTTCGTACTTCTCAATGATTTCCTTCTTAACTGCCACCGTAATCATCTCCTTCTTCTTACCGCCTTTCTTTTCAGCCTTTTTCTGCATGGGGGCCATTGTACGCACTCGCACGGATGTTGACTGAGATGATGACCCACAATCCCGGTGATCGGCGTCACGTCCTGCTCGTATTGTAAGACATCGCTCGTCTATCAAGCCACAATGTTTCAGAAACGTTTGCTCGTCTTGCGAAACACTCGCAAACCAAGTTACTTGTAGACCAAGTCTATGTACTGATATGAATGCGGCGACAACGGGCGGTGTGGTGATACACGGACAGCGTCCCGATACACAAAGTAACAAATAGGCAATAAAACGCAGAGATAATAACTAGAACTCGGCCTGCGTATTGTTTTTGTTTTCTGCTGAATGCAAAAAGGATCAACGAAGAAACATACAAGAAGTGAGATTAAAAAGACAGGAAGTGATCCAAGATGCAGACAGGAAGTGATGTAATTACAGACAGGAAGTTCCGGGTGAGAGGTGAGTTGGGAGGAAGTAGAGAGGAGACATTGCTGGGACTGGCAGCAGAGGAGGTAACAAGATATTGTTTTATATTTACACCCAATGACCCCCCCCGTCATGTCCATCCTCGTCCTCCATAGTCACTGTGACGTCTTATATCCCCAGCATTTCTCCAACTGTCCATCCAGAGACGCCATTTATAGACCGGATACATCCTAAATAAAGAGCCATTTATCCAACTGTCCCTCCAGAGCCGCCATTTATAGACCGGACACATCCTAAATATAGAGCCATTTATCCAACTGTCCATCCAGAGCCGCCATTTATAGACCGGATACATCCTAAATATAGAGCCATTTATCCAACTGTCCATCCAGAGCCGCCATTTATAGACCGGACACATTCTAAATATAGAACCATTTATCCAACTGTGCATCCAGAGCCGCCATTTATAGACCGGACACATTCTAAATATAGAACCATTTATCCAACTGTCCCTCCAGAGCCGCCATTTATTGACCGGATACATTCTAAATATAGAACCATTTATCCAACTGTCCCTCCAGAGCCGCCATTTATTGACCGGATACATTCTAAATATAGAACCATTTATCCAACTGTCCCTCCAGAGCCGCCATTTATTGACCGGATACATTCTAAATATAGAACCATTTATCCAACTGTCCCTCCAGAGCCGCCATTTATTGACCGGATACATTCTAAATATAGAACCATTTATCCAACTGTCCCTCCAGAGCCGCCATTTATTGACCGGATACATTCTAAATATAGAACCATTTATCCAACTGTCCCTCCAGAGCCGCCATTTATTGACCGGATACATTCTAAATATAGAACCATTTATCCAACTGTCCCTCCAGAGCCGCCATTTATTGACCGGATACATTCTAAATATAGAACCATTTATCCAACTGTCCCTCCAGAGCCGCCATTTATTGACCGGATACATTCTAAATATAGAGCCATCTATCCAACTGTCCATCCAGAGCCGCCATTTATAGACCTGATGCCTGATCTGACCCTTCTATGCAAACCTACAATGGAAACTTTAGGTTGGAGTTGCACGTAAATGTTTATCTCTGGTTTTATTTCAGATCATTTAAAAATGAGGCCTGTTATATGGTAGAACAAGAAGTCCGAGAGAGACCTATGAGAACTATGGAGGAACGCTGGGGAGACATTCTTCATTTGGGTAAAGTGCAAATAATTATCAGTTTATTATTCTTTTACAGAGAGGAGTGTCCTGTATGGATCACATGACCACATCAATGAGGATGGACAAATACCGAAGCCAACTGACCGAGAGGATATTGGAACTCACCCTGGAGATCATCTACCTGCTGACCGGAGAGGTGAGGAGGATTCTGGGAGGTCACATGACTTCAATCTTATATCTATTCATAAAACACAGACCTGACCGGAGAGGTGAGGAGGATTTTGAGAACTCTTTACTGATTATTTTCTCAATTTACTCAGGATTATAAAGTAGTGATGAAAATGTCTAGTGATCCATTAACACCCAAGAACTGTCTTCATGGGGCATCACCCATCACAGAGCCTCCACCTCACTGCCCAACATCTGAGAGAAAAAAGAAGATTCTAGAAGTCACCCGGAAGATGATTGGTCTGCTGACGGGAGAGGTGAGCGGTGCCGGGAATTCTGGGACATGATCCAGGAACAGACAAGGGATGTGTCTGGGTGGTGACTGTATCATTGTGTGTGTCAGGTTCCTATAAGGTGTCAGGATGTCTCTGTCTATTTCTCCATGGAGGAGTGGGAGTATCTAGAAGGACACCGGGATCTCTACAAGGACGTGGTGATGGAGAATGAGCCGTCCCTCACATCACCGGGTAAGAGGAGAGAGCAGTAAGGAGGCTCCACCTAGATCCCCCATCATCTGATACACACATAGAAACAATGTATTCAGTCAGTGTGTGTGTTTCCTACAGATGGATCCAGTAAGAGGAACCCACCAGAGAGATGTCCCCGTCCTCTGTATTCCCGGGATCCCACACAGGATGATCACAACATCCCTCACCATGATCAGGTAGATGTGACTGACCATGTAGACCTAACAATGTATTCTAAGCTATGAGAGGACATTCCTCTATGTAATCTCTTGTACCCTTTTTATAAATGTATCTAATTATCTTTGGGGGTTTAGGGTGAAGAACTGAAAGACATCAAAGTTGAGATTAAAGAGGAAGAAGAAGAGACATTGGTGAGTGGAGCTCAGCAGTCTATGGAGGAGGGGGAGATGATTGTGAAGAGTAAACAGGAGGAATCTTCTCTACATATGGACACAAGTAAGTCATAAACACAGAAAATGCAGAAACCGGTCACATTTTTTTTTTACTTCTAGGACTATATACTATGTATTGACACTTTTAGAGAAGATGAAAAAACACACATCAAGCCTGTTCACCCCTAAGAACTTAATAAAACTAAACCTATAGCAGATCCTACCACCAAATTGGTGGAAAAAAAATTCCAGCACAAGGGGCGAAGGGGGTTCTTCACAGTAAGATCAGTTAGGGTCTGGAACTCACTGTCGCAGGCGGTGATTTCAGCAAAGAATGCGGGACGGTTCAAGAAACTTTTGGATGATTTCTTAAGGGACCGTAATATTTAAATCGGGTTGTTTCCCCGTATCTTCAGAAACAAATCACTTTTACTGTTGTGGTAACCAACCTGCTTCCCTATTTATTAGGAATGCACCGATACCGGTATTTTGGATAATTTCTTTTCGGGACTCATGAGGAATCTTCCGACCAATCACAGACTGTTACTCCAGATATCCGTCTGAGATCTCACAGTGCGAATACATCAACTGATCCATCCAATCCGAAGGCATCTTCTTCATCTGTTGGAGGTCACACAGTAGAGAGTTCATTGCCATCTTTAAATGGTAAGAAATCTCCCTCTAAAACCAGAGCACCACCTGAACAGCAGAGAAGTTCCACGGGTGGACATCCTTTTTCATGCTCAGATTGCGGGAAAGGTTTCACTGCCAAAGGAAGCCTTCTTAGACACCGGAGAATACACACAGGTGAGCGTCCATATTCATGTTCGGAATGCGGGAAATGTTTCATTCAGAAAGGAGCACTAGTTATACACCAGAGAGTTCACACTGGTGAACGTCCATATACATGTTCAGAGTGCGGGAAATGTTTCATTCAAAAAGGAGCCCTTATTATACACCAGAAAATTCATACAGGGGAGCGTACTTTCTCATGTTCAGTGTGTGGGAAAAGTTTTGCTGACAAAGGAAGCCATCTTTTACACCAGAGAAGTCACACCAGGGACCGTCCCTATTTATGTTTAGAATGTGGGAAATGTTTCGCTCAGAAAGACGATCTTCTTATACACCAGAGATGTCACACAGGTGAGCGTCCCTATACATGTTCAGAATGCGGGAAATGTTTCACACAGAAAAATGTACTTCGCAAACACCAGAGAATTCACACTGGTGAGCGCCCTTTCTCATGTATAGACTGCGGGAAATGTTTCATCCACAATGGAGACCTTATTAGACACCAAAAATTTCACACAGGTGAGCGTCGCTTCTCATGCACAGAGTGCGAGAAATGTTTCATTCAAATTAGAGACCTTATGAAACACCAACGAATTCACACGGGTGAGCGTCCTTATCCATGTTCAGAGTGCGGGAAATCCTTCACTGAGAAAGGAAACCTTATTAGTCACCAGAGAATTCACACAGGTAAACGTCCTTATCCATGTTCAGAGTGCGGGAAATCCTTCACTGAGAAAGGAAACCTTATTGGCCACCAAAGAATTCACACTGGTGAGCGACGTTTCTCATGTACAGACTGTGGGAAAGCTTTCATTCACAAGGGAGACCTTAGTAAACACCAGAGAATTCACACTGGGGAGCGTCCGTTTTCCTGCTCAGAGTGCGGAAAATGTTTTACTCAGAAAAGTGTACTTTTTAGACACCAGAGTATTCACAAGGACACAAATTCTTAACAGCATTTCAGTAGCAGAACAAGACTTAGACAAGATAATTCACACAGGTAAGCGCTCCTATCCATCTCAAGAGTGCGGAAAAAGATTACTTTGTACACGCAATCATTCACATGTGTGAGTGCCCTTTCTCATGTTCACAGTGTGGGATATGTTTCATTTAAATACGAAAGCCTTCCTAAACACCACAAAATTCACACAGGTGAGCAATTGTATTGCAGAGTGTGCGGGAAATGCTTCATTTACATGAGACGGATTCTTTCAGAGTTGACTCCAGTGAGTGTACCTATCTATGTCCAGTGTGCGAGAAAAGCTTTACATAATCATGGAAATCTAATGAAACATCAGAGAATTCACACTAACGCATGCTATTGACAACTCTATCATGCTATTTGACAAGTGGAACTGTTCAGTACATCTGTAGTACAATAAACAAGCCTTTGAAGGGGTTACGCCCTGGTAAAAGTCAAGTAGTGAAAAAAAAAAACGGAGGCGCCACGGAATGAAGAGTCCAACCGTATAAATAAAATAATTAACGTTCCAATGCGTTTCTGGGGGCAAACACGGACCCCCTTCATCAGGGCTTTAGGTGTAATGCTTATTATTGGATGCAGGATCATTATTAAAATGTGTTCACCCGCAGTATCCTATCATAATGCATCTTTCACCAATGAACCTTTTTGCCTATTGCTCACCATTATTCTATGTTGCTTTACTGAAGAAGATTCCAATGCGTTTTTGGGGGCAAACACGGACCCCCTCGGCTTGTTTTATTGTATGTTTATCACGTATTCTGATTTTGTAAAATAAACAAAGTTCCACAATTTACAATATACTGTTTTGTTTTTTTTACAATTGACCAGAATGCTTATATGATCAGTGATGGGAATGAGCATGGGTCATAGAGAGTCCTCCATTGGCGATGGGAATGAGCTCAGTTCATAGAGAGTCCTCCATTGGTGATGGGAATGAGCTCGGTTCATAGAGAGTCCTCCATTGGTGATGGGAATGAGCTCAGTTCATAGAGAGTCCCCCATTGGTGATGGGAATGAGCTCGGTTCATAGAGAGTCATCCATTGGTGATGGGAATGAGCTCATTTCATAGAGAGTCATCCATTGGTGATGGGAATGAGCTCAGATCATAGAGAGTCCTCCATTGGTGATCGGAATGAGCTCGGTTCATAGAGAGTCCTCCATTGGTGATAGGAATGAGCTCAGTTCATAGAGAGTCCTCCATTGGTGATGGGAATGAGCTCGGGTCATAGAGAGTCATCCATTGGTGATGGGAATGAGCTCAGATGATGACGTAAAGGAAGCGGTGCGGTCGCAGGGTCACCTCAGATGATGACGTAAAGGAAGTGGCGTGGTCGCAGGTTCACCTCAGATTTTGAAGTAAAGGAAGCGGCGCGGTCGCAGGTTCACCTCAGATTTTGAAGTGAAGGAAGCGGCGCGGTCGCAGGTTCACCTCAGATTTTGAAGTAAAGGAAGCGGCGCGGTCGCAGGGTCACCTCAGATGATGAAGTGAAGGAAGCGGCGCACACCTGGCTTCAGCAGCAGCCGAAAAGCTTCTTCTAAAGGATACAACAAGAGCTTCATCTTCCATGAGGACTATATCTATAATGTCCCTTCCCGAGAATATCACATATACAACTTCCCTGACACTTCCCTCTGACGCACAATCTCAGTATTCTCTGTCGGTTGAACTCGATGGACTTGTCTTTTTAATAACGTCCCAGGCTTTAGTTTTTATGTTCTACACAAGGTGTCCTAAGTCATTGAGAGAGGACCGCGCAGTTAGGGTTGCCACCCGTACGGGAATCACCCGGACAGTATGGGTTTTGAACCCTGTGCCCGGGCGGGAGGCCGCCGCTCACCCGTACTTGGTGGCACCATGACGAGCGTTGGGTAGCAGGGAGAGAGCGGCAGTCAGCAAACACCGGGTGGCGCTGTTTTCAGTACCTCGATTCTCCCTCTCTCTCTCTCTCACTCCTTTGATCCTCCGTGGCTGGCACTGTGTGAGTCAGAGGAAGTGACATCACAGAGAGAGCAGAGAGGGAGAAGTCATTCTCCAGCAGTCGGCATGGACAGCGCTTTCATCTTAACAGGTATCTATTACATTTATTTTTTTTAAATAACAAGTTTACCGGCCCATAGAAGCGATCTGGCGACAGTTGAGTCGCCAAAATCGCTTCTACCGTAAAGCCGGTGGCCGGCTCTACAAATATGATCACAGTCTGTTTAACCCCTTAGGGACCCATGATGGAATTATATCCTGCCATGGGTCATCAAGGGGTTAACCTCCCACAGTAGGGTATTCACCCGGACAGTCCGGGTTTGGAAGCCTGTGTCCGGGTGTGAGCCCACCTCACAGCCGGACACATTATACAAACCGGACTTGTGGCTAGTAACTCGTGGCTAGTAACTCGTGGCGGGCGCCGCTGTTTTCAGTCCCTTGACTCTCCCTTCCTCTGTTTCTCCTCCGCTGCTGGAGCTGGGCGAGTCGGGGGAAGTGACATCAGAGAGAGAGCAGAGAGGGAGAATTCATCCTCCGGCAGCCGGCGTGAAGCGCTTTCATCTGGGACTGCATCTTAATAACAGGTATTTATTACATTTATTTAAATATCAATTGAAAAGAAGGGGGGGTGGGGGTATTGTACGTAAAACATGTCCCCCCAAAAAATGCCATAGGTAACCTGTGACATGTTTTGTGGCGGCATCTTCTATGTGCAATAGTACATATCGTGCAATACAGATGTCACCGGCACTAAGATTCCATGTTAGTGCAAAATCCATTTTATTGATAGTTGTCATTCAAACGACGAGCACTTTCGGGGGGTGGCGCCGGGTCCCCTTCATCAGGCTCAGAAATGACATTGTAAAAAAAAAACCACAACCTTTATATAGACATTCTAGAATATCATTTCTGAGCATGATGAAGGGGACTCCTGAATGACAACTATCAATACAATGGATTTGCACCAGGGATGCACCGATACTAGTATCAGTATCGGTGCAGATTCTGAGTATTTGGGCTCGTACTCGCCCAAATGCTCCAATACCGGAACTTCCTGTCAGAGGGAGATCTCGCTCTGACCGGCAGTGCCTAGGGAGTATGGAGCCGGCCTTCCTTTCCAGTCAGGAAGCCAGGTGGTGGGTTATGACCTGCCTCCCGGGTTCCTTATTGGCTAGGTAACCAGCTTCACTTGTTGGTAGGCAGCCTGGCATCCTAACCAATCAGGAAGCCAGGTGGTACATCATGACTCGCGCCCCGGCTTCCTGATTGGTCAGGAAGCCACGCTGCCTATAAACAAGTGAAGCCAGCTTCCTAGCCAATCAGGAAGGCAGGTCCATGACATGCCGCCCGGCTTCCTGATTGGCTAGAAAGGCCGGCTTCACTTGCTGCTAGGCAGTCTGGATTCCTGGCCGGTCAGGAAGCTAGACGGCACCTTATGACTTGCCGCCTGGCTTTCTGATTGGTCAGACAGCCTCAAGTGAAGAACACCAGCTTCACAGGCAATCAGGAAGCCGGGCGACGGGTCACCCTCATAATCGGAGGTACAAGGCACCGGTACTCAGTGACCGCTGAGATAGGTGGCGCTGTGATCACAGCGCCACGGTCTCAGTAATCACACAGAGCAGATGTTCTTCTTCTCAAGGGGCTCTATGGTGAGCTCCTATCCTGTGGTCACGGGTCCCCCAGAGGAGCGGGGGACCCCGAAAACCACGGCAGTGGGGGGGGCGGGGGTGTTACGCCGCCGCTGCCCCTGCTTGGTTTTAATACGCAGCGGTATACTGAGCCTAGGGTGAATGAAGGACGCTAGTTTGTGTCCTCCCGTTACCCTAAGGAGAACTATGGGGAAAAGCCTTAACCCCATAGTTCTTCTTTAATCCTATAGAAAATGTATGGAGGGAGAAGAAAGTTCGAGTTGCCAAGCAACAGCCAAGAAACCTTAAGGATTTAGAGAAGATCTGTAAAGAAGAGTGGACCAAAATCCCTCCTGAGATGTGTGCAAACCTGGTAATCAATTTCAAGAAACGTCTTCCCTCTGTGCTTGCCAACAAAGGTTTCTCCACCAAGTACCAAGTCATGTTTTGCTTGGGGATCAAATACTTATTTTACTCACTTCTGCCGCTCAATTTAATACAAGTGATCTAATTAGATCACTTTTATTAAACGAGCAGCGGCTCCCACTGTACATTCAGTTCTGCTTGTCAGGAGCAGGGCTGAATGTACAAAAAAACTACTCGCCCGGCGCCCGAAACTGCATGCTCCGGGCGTCGGGCGATAGGTATTCCCTCCTTTTGGGGGAAAAAAAGTGTGTCTTATGGAGCAGTGTTCGGGTTTGGCTTGAAGAAAAGGTGGCAACCCTACAGCGCAGACAGAAAGTGATACCAGGAAATAATATAGGGAGCAGACAGGAAGTGATACCAGGAGCACAGGAAATAATATAGGGAGCAGACAGGAAGTGATACCAGGAGCACAGGAAATAATATAGGGAGCAGACAGGAAGTGATGGAGAAGTAAAAACAGGAAGTTCCGGGTGAGAGGTGATTTGGGAGGAAGTAGAGAGGAGGACATTGCTGGAACTGGCAGCAGAGGAGACAATCCGATATCATTTTAGATACACTGCCCATCCGCTTCTTTCATATTCATTGTGATGTCTTTTATCTGCAGCCCAGATACTTCCTAAATGTAGAGCCGTTTATTCCTCTTCCGTAGAGCTGGCCCGGGGTTCTTAGCTCTGGTCACTGGGAGAAATTGGACACCATCCCCGGGAATTCACAAAGACCATCTTCTGAAGAGTGTCTCCACCACCCCGTAGGACAAATATTGGTGAGTACGACAGATTCCTGTACACGTCAGACATCTACGTGAATTTGTCACGAAGATGCACTGGAATCGGCACAAATTACTCCTTGGGCAACCAATGATATGAATAGGGTTGCCACCTTTTCTTCAAGCAAAACCCGAACACTCTAGCGACGCAAGGACATTTTTGGGG